ACTGTTTAATTGTATCATTATAATGACGATCACTTAAAATTGTTAAGGATATTGCTGACATTAATGTGATACATATTTACAGTGCCCTAGTACTAGTCATTGCACTACATTATCACGGTCATGGTAGGACTAAGCCTAAATTTCAACATTACCACCCTCATACCTGGCCTTGCATTACTATATTACATTGTGACAGTCATGCCAGGCCTTGCAATACTATATTACATTGTCATGGTCATGCTAGGCCTTGCAGTACTATATTACAATGTCACGGTCATGGCAGGCTTTGCAATACTATATTACATTGTCGCGGCAGGCATTGCAATAGTACAGCATTGTCTGGTTTACTCGAGTCTCTAGCGGGGATTTCATCTGGAATACTATGAACTCCATTTGAAAAAAGCTGGCTGCCGTGTCATAAATTTATTGAATATTTTAAAAAGATAAATAAATCATTAATCAAAACGGACCCCGCTCAACTCCTTGATGAGATATGACATGATTTCATCAGGCTTTCGTCTAAAATTAAAACAAAATGGCTCCAAGAAAAAAAGTAAATTCTAAGTTAGCGATCCAGAAGATGTGAACTATACAGGGCGTATCAAAAAAAAACGCAACAAGTAGTTATCTCGTAAAATTCCAAAACTAGTGATGACTACATGAATTTCATTTGATGTACCATAAAGCCACGTCTCTCGTCTTTGCATGTGGAAATGGTTGGGTGAGAAATCCTTCCATTTGCACAGTGGGTCAAAATCGAATCTGGGCCAAGTTTTAGATATTGCAAAAATCAGTGCAAGGGCTAAGTGCCAATGGAAGTTCCCCTGACTTCAATTGTTGTGACTTTTTCTTTTGGAGCTATCTCAGGAGCATCTGTGCTCACAATTCCTCCACCAGATATTGCAAAACCTCAAGAATTGCCCATGGGCTGCTTTTCTCTGCTTTAACCCACAGATGACTCAGGGCTGAACCATGCATGACGTGGACAGATGAGCGCATCTTTATGTGCAAAGAAGTGGTGGCAATTTGGAGGGGTATAGGATGTTTTCTTGCAAGAGTATGAGTATGAACACTTAACTGTCTATGCCACATCTGTCATACCTTCTTCCAATAGCCCCTATGCCCCTTGTACTGACTTTTGCAATGTTTAAAACTTGGGTCCGAGCTGAATTTTGCCCCACTTTGCAAAATTAATGATTATTCAGCCAGCCATTCTTCTCTGTGAATGAATGATATTCAATTGCAAAGAGGAGTAATTTGGCTTTTTGGTACATTGAATGAAAAGGATGCAGTCAGCATTGGTTTTATGTTTTCTTCCAATTTTGCATCGGGCTCCGTACACTGACTTTTGCGATGTTTATAACTTGGTCAAAAGCTAATTTTGGCTTACTTGGCAAATGGAATGATTACTCGCCCAACCATGACCAAATATCAATGAATGATATATCATTGTAAAGAGGAGACACATGGCTTTATGGTGCATTGAATGAAATCAATGCTGTTATCACTGGTTTTGTGCTTTACTGAGATAACAATCTGATGCGTTTTTTTGATATGCACTGTATATTATAGTAGCCGAGACAACACAAGTCCCAAGTCTGTATATTTACTCTCATTTCTTCACTTTTAAGAGTTAAGTCACCACATTTTGCATGCACATTCCTTGGAGAAATCCTAACATAGAATTTCATTGGTTTTGATTATAATTTATTTGATAAATAAAGCAAAACATTTGATTTTGATTGGTCTATAATCAAAATTTTCCATTTTGTACAACAAATGCAACATTTTGACGTTATTAATAAAACTCCAAGTTATAAATGACAGATACAATATGGTGTCTCTAATCTTATTGACAATAACTATCACTAGTTATTATTTTTTGCCAGTCATCAGATCGTGCATTGGAAGTGTACCTCAATGAGAAATACATTCATTGATTGTGGCAACTAGTAAATTGTAAAAATTCTATTTTTACATACACTGTTTCAATATGGTCATTTGATTGCTTATTTTTGTACGAAGTGTCTGGAGAACCTTAAATTTTAAGGCTCTTTAGCCAAAATGCTAAAGAGCCTTAAAATTTAAGGTTATTTAGCTGTGATGTGAACATAGTATTTTTGCTAGAGAGCCTTTGTATTTATAATCCGTGTTTATATTGTTTTTTATTGATGTTTTCATAATCTAAACAATAAAACAACAGTCTCGAAAGTTTTTTCAACCCAGAATGCCACTTAAAAATATCACACATGTATATCACTATAAAGTTTCGAAAAATTCTGTCCAATCATGGAACAACCACTCTGGTGTAGTGGTTAGGGTGGTCGCCTTGCACCTCTGCGGCGTTTGAACCTTTAAAAAGCCAGATTTAGAAAGAGAATTGAAAAGGTTTTTCTCGGTAGACCGGAAGTAAATTTATGAGTTTAGTAAAAAGTGATAATATTCTTTTTATGTAGTGGGGAAGTCAAAACAGTACTAATAGAAGTCATAGTAAGCATTCGAAGATTATTTAGAACCATTTAAAATTAAACTGACGGCAAAATTGAATTGACTGAAATCTTTATATGTTTTCTTATTCATCTTCTTCGCAGACCTCAGAGAAGACACTTCCGGTTTAATAATCAGTGATTTTATCGATCAAAAAATATTTCTTTTTGAATTTGTCCGATATCTGCTAATATGGTATGTATATTTGTGCTTATTGTTAAATAACAAAATAGGTTGGGTACAGTATAGAATATGTCAAAGTCGTTTGATCTTGTCCCAGAAGCAATATTTCGTCATTTCTGTCGCCTGGAATTCCTTTAAGGCTCTCTAGCAGAATTGGCTATCAAAATGCTAAAGAGTAGAGATGTCACGGAACAAAAAAAAATCGTAACGGTTCGGTTCGGAACATTTTGCTTCGGAACGGAACAATTTCGGAACGGTTCGGAACAGAATGACTGCGTGTATAAGGTTAAAATAAGTTGATCATCTAGGTCTATTTGGTAGCGAAAAGCTCTTCAAAACTCTTCAATGAGAAGGAGTGAAAAGAATGAACCTCTTTTGGTGCAAAATATTGAAAGAAAAATGCTGTTTTGTGGCGATTTAAGGGCCAAAAGTTGTGAAAGGGTAAAATGTTCTTGTTCCGGAACCGAACCGAAATTCTTAATTTGTGTTCCGTGTTCCTTTCCAAGGGCATAATTCCGCAGATCGGAACAAAATCAGGTATCCGTGACACCTCTACTAAAGAGTATTTAGCTGAATTGCTAAAGAACCTTAAAATTTAAGGCTCTTTAGCATTTTGGTAACCAATTTGGCTAGAGAGCCTTAAATTTTAAGGCTCTCCAGGCATGGCCTTAAATTCAAAGTAGTCACAAACATTTCTGTTTTGACCACGGACATCTAATACGTTCTTCGAACAGGAATGATATCAATAACAGGACTGGCAACAAGATCCAAGTATTTTTCAAGACCGCCGACACTCGTTGGGCTATTTATCCATATTGACTCTGTTGTTCATATAAATTTACGTACCTTAGATGCTTTGTAATCGACGTAGATAGAAAATATTGCTTCCTAAATTGTTCTGAAATGCGAGTATAATACTAAATGTACTTTGAACAGGTTGACTGACTAAAAAGTCGGCCATTTGGCACAAGTCTCGTTCTCGTTCTCAAACAAAGCATGACAATCTTAAAATTCCTGGGAGGTTTACTACTTTAAAAAATGGTCGTTAAAAATGTATTTCTTCGTGTATCTCATCTACGAGTACGGGAGTTATCGCATCCTACGACCCCTTTAGATTGTGGTCGTAGGCCGATTCATTAGTAAGCCTGTGTTTCTACAATGTCGGAGAATGAACTATGCATTGCACACATAAATGACCTACCTCGATACATTCATGAGTATTTAAGAATTCTTTTCATATAGTTGAATCGCAAATTGTATGGGTTTATCGGCAGAACGAAGATATTTTCGTTTTTGATAGCAATATTTGCGTTAACCAAACCCGTCTGACCCAGTTATCTACTCCCGACCTCGTAGATCTACGGGTTTGGTTACTTTCGCCAGAACATTCTCTCTGACTGTGATTTTGACTGTACTACTTTTTTCAAGGCCTGACTGCGTCGCTAACATGCTAAATATAAGAGTTAGCTGACGTTTGGGAGTCTGACTTACCTTCTAAAGGTTAGAACCCGAATCTTAATGAAACCATATCACCTTTGTTCCGTCAACCATGGAGCATTTGCCACAACATCCAAGAGGTAAATCATGGATCGAGAAAATGAATGATTTCCTTGTAAGTTCCGGAAGTTTCAATACGAAAAATTACCGAACATATGTGAAAACCGAATATTTGTTCGTTGTTTTCACGATTTACAGGTTCGTTTGTTCTTCAATGTTTTGGTCTAAATTATAAAGCATCACCAACAGGTCTTACTCTATTAATCGACTAATACAGCAGACGGCTCATATTTCTACGTAGCATTTCATTCAGACCAATAGTGGGAGTGTAGATCACGCAGTTTCGTTCGTTGCGTACTTCACTTGAAATTAGTAATTTTAAATATTGACTACTTCACTTAGCCTGGCGGATGTAGAACATTGCTTAATATTCTTTTAATTTTCACACCAGACATGCTTGGTTGACACGTCAACAAAGTAAAGTTCAAGGGTCAATGCGTTATTTCGTGATAACTACAACGCCTTCCCGGAAGTCAACATTGATGAAAAATGAAAAAGTCGGAAAAGCATTTACGCTAATTTCTATCAAATGCTATGTTTATGCATCATCATCGACGCAACAAAGGTGATATGGTTTCATTAAGATTCGGGTTCTAACCTTTAGAAGGTAAGTCAGACTCCCAAACGTCAGCTAACTCTTATATTTAGCATGTTAGCGACGCAGTCAGGCCTTGAAAAAAGTAGTAGATGCAAGAACAGCTTTTGAATCTCTGTAATAAATAATTATGATTTAGACTCTACTATGTTTATAATTTTACTCCTTATATACTCACCATTCCTCTATACTTTTCTAATGAAATGGTCTCTCCAGATATGTCATCTACAGTAAATGAATAACAATCCACCAAATTCTTTTGATCTTTTTCCTCAACGATATTCTGAATCTGATTGTCAATGTCATTTTCTAAAATTACATATTTGTCATGGATTTCTTCTTCAATATCCACGTCATCAGTTGCGTTTGGGATAACAAAGCTGAGGTGGTCCATCAAGACAATCAATGTCAACGTTCTCCAAGTATTTTGTGTTTGCACCATTTTAACACGGACCTGAAGTCCGTGATTTTAAGAAGTGCTCTTCTACGTGGAGGCAAAAATCTTTTAACTCCATCAGGGGAAATCTGCGCGAAGTTCCCTTTTTTGGTTCGTTTTATTGCGCATCCGCATTCAATCCAGTAATTTGATTAGTCCAAATTATGTAAGCGCATGCGCAATTATTAAATGAATAACTACATATACTTTCAGATAGATGTCACTTAGGTTCATTATTTTTCAGCAGTCCCTTCCTACAATGCACCTTATATTGCGGAAATATTTTATTTAGTAAAAATAACTCTCAATCCCATTTGAATTGAAAGTACACATAGGCCCAATAATATTCTTTCTGTTCATTGGCAATACTCTTGACTAAATGAAAATCAAACCAGCCGCATGCAATTTGAATCATGGGAATGAAGTACTTTCATTTTCGCACATGCGTGGAAAACAGAACCAAGTGAAAATGGAATCTCGCGCAGAAAACGAACGTAAAAGACACGAACAACGTGCAGATTGCCGCAGAGAAGTTAGGCGCATTTGATGGCGCTCGAAATCACACGAAGAATATAGATCTATATTGCACATGTCGGTAAGTATGATTGTGATAAAGGAGAAAATTGGTAAATTGAAAATATAATAACTTAAATATTCAACATGTGACATGAGGGTCTCTTAAAGGATTAAATATTAGATTCATGGTCTTAGAGCAATATTTCAAACACGCCATTTTCCCGGGCTTTTTCCCGAAATCCAAGCCTTGTTAGATATTTTCACCTGGATTATTTAAATTTTGTCATTTGTTAATGTTGGCGAAGGACTTTTAAGTTCGTTTTCTTATACATCAACAACAATCAGCTAATTGAAGTGCAAATGTCGATTTCTAATTTCAACCACGAGGTAAACATGAGTGATTTCAAAATGGTAAGCACCTTCTGCCATCTATAAGTTACTATAATTAGCCTAGATGTAATGAGTGAATATACTAGATACGAATAGAAACAAGAGATCATTTTAAAAAAATGAAGCTTCGTGTGAAGGAGATGTTTGCAGTGTTGTAATGAATTGTATTGAGTTGTAAAGCAGGTGTTCCTTACAGAAGAGTGTTTTCTATGACAGTTGGGGACATACAGTGCTGATATATAATAATTAAGGGTGCGTTTTCAAACTAAACAGAGTGCTCCTATCAAAATGAATTTGCCTACATACCCCTGAGACTCTTATCTGATAGATAGAATGCACAAATAAAACAAAAGTTTTGCTATTATCACGGGATGTCATCGCCTGATTTGGTCAATGTTAGGGAGCAGGTCGATTTTACAATAAATTTCAATATTTTCACACAAAATATTTTTTTACGGAAAAACTGCTCATTCGCAGAGAAAATGTACTAGCACATGCAATGACAATGTCAATCACGCTTCTGTACTAAATTCGGCGGAAGTCTTTTATAATCTAAAATGAAGTTACTAAAAAAGGCGCGAACGCCCTACACTCAAAATGATCGTTTTTCCATTATAACTTTTTAACGTAATTTAACGAAGGCTTCTAATTATTATCCAAGATAGTCTAAATACCGATTAAAATATTTCTTACTTCAAACAGATACGCCGTCTTTTATTCAATTTTTTAAAAAATAATAAAAAATAACTCTTGTCAATGTTAGGGAGCAGTCAATGTTAGGGAGCAAAATGATTTTATCAGAATATTAAAAATGTAGCAAATGGCCATTTAAAATATGTATGGCATTTATAAACTAAACAATATTGTTTGAATGATTATTTTAAACCCCTTGCCTTAACAAAATTTAACAAAATCGATAAAAAAAATTGTTTTGCATTTTTGTTATCTTCAGAAAATGGACTCTCAAAGATTTTTGACGAAGGAAAGTTAATTATTATCATGGATAATCTCAGTGCATATTGAAATATTTCTTACTTCAAACAGGTACACCTTTCTTTAATTTTTTTTAAATAATAAAAAATAAGTATGATCAATGTGGCGGAGCAAACAATGCAGTGGGGCGAAATGGTTTTATCCTTGCCCCATTGGTGTATGTTGGGCTTCACATAACATGTGACCTGATCGGAAATCCCACGATGCCCCATGGAAAGAATGAACATGTTCATTCTCGATGGGGCAAGATGGAACTCCGTGGGATTTTGCCCCATCCTGCCCCATCGAATCCCATCGAGTCCAACGTGGGACCTCATGGGACTCGATGGGGCAAGATTATATGCAAGTTGGGGCAAAATCCGACGGAGTCCCATTGATTCCCACGGACTTCATGGGGCAAAATCCCAAAAGGTCCCACTAGGTCCCACGCCATGTTAAGTCTATGGAGGTCCCAACTTGTCCCATTGGTGTATACCGGGCTTTAGAGTATCATTAGCAAGTGGTACACATATAACAGAGATCGGTTATATACTGCATTGTCTGAGTATTGACAAATTGAAATATACGTGTAAAAATCTACTATCATACATGTAACTGCGCAATGAGCCCTTCATAGCGTTTGTGCCAGCTATCAGGTGATACCCGGTCGTAAAGATAAGTGCGAGACTAACTCTCTTACTTTAATACTAGGAAAATATCAAATCATAGAACTGAAGGATGTCGGAGATTTCTCAAGCCTATATATCAGTTCAGATAATTTATCATCCACAATTTAGGATTGTGATGACATCATCAAAAAGTGTATATAACGATACATCCATTCATTTACAGTTAGAGGTCAACGAATAAAGAAGGAATGGTTCGCATCTAAATATTTCTAAAACGAACGTAAACAGGATTTAGCTGAAAATAAAAAATGCAAAATAACCTTTTCAATGATTTTCTTACAATTTTAACGCTTTCCTCCCCAAAAGGGTATCAAATAATCATACAAACAATATTGTTTAGTTTATAAATGCCATACATATTTTAAATGGCCATTTGCTACATTTTTAATATTCTGATAAAATTATTTTGCTCCCTAACATTGACTGCTCCCTAACATTGACAAGAGTTATTTTTTATTATTTTTTAAAAAATTGAATAAAAGACGGCGTATCTGTTTGAAGTAAGAAATATTTTAATCGGTATTTAGACTATCTTGGATAATAATTAGAAGCCTTCGTTAAATTACGTTAAAAAGTTATAATGGAAAAACGATCATTTTGAGTGTAGGGCGTTCGCGCCTTTTTTAGTAACTTCGTATTAGATTATAAAAGACTTCCGCCGAATTTAGTACAGAAGCGTGATTGACATTGTCATTGCATGTGCTAGTACATTTTCTCTGCGAATGAGCAGTTTTTCAGTAAAAAAATATTTTGTGTGAAAATATTGAAATTTATTGTAAAAACGACCTGCTCCCTAACATTGACCAAATCAGGCGATGACATCCCGTGATTATAGGTAAAAAGTACTCTTGAAATTTCGGAGTGATTTTACCTGTTAATTCTGTCCATGGTCCGGCATTTTTGCGGAAGTTACACTGAAACGCAAACTCCATGAAACGAAACGAAATCACTAGAAAAAACATGGCACACATTGTGCGCATGTGCAGCAAAGTTTAGACCAATCAGATTATTTGATTATTTTGCGCACATGAATTATTTGCTTCTGAGCACTTACAAGCTTACCACAATAAACAAACCTGGCAGAGACTACCCTTAGCCTACTCCATTTTGGCGAAATTTCAGCTCAAACTCGTGACAAATGCATTATACATACGCTGGTGTGAAGCCTTGGAGACACTCATTTTGGTAAATATGATTTATAGGGTATACTTTTCTGCAGTTTGTGGGAGTTTGGAACATTAAATGTTAAAATTCAAGAAAATATGCCAATTAAACGACTGATCAATTAATATATACCAGCACTGTAAATAAATGACAGGTGGATTTGCTGAAGTGAGGATTTCCCATGTTAAAAATAAGAGAATTTACAAGAGGCCATACATCAGTGGATGAGATTATACAAAATGTAAAATATACAAATTTTAAGGGATATATCTAGACAATATTGGAAATTATGGGCTTTCAGACCACCATAATTAGGAAATGGTGATCGAAAATCGACCTGTCATTTATTTTTGTCCCCAACTGTAAGTCAAGTTTCACTGAATAAGTAAATTGCCAAGCTTACTTTAACCCGGGGGGTTCACTATATATAAACCTTGACGGGGATCCTCGGCGCATGTGGGGTACCTTTTTCAACGTTTGGTATGGCAATGGACCCATATTTTAGGATTTGGTATGGGAATGCCCAGAAATTTCGGACTTCTGAGGTATGGCAATGGTCGGACTTTTGCTCTTCTAGTATGAGAATGGTCATTGTAGATACGTTACCTAACATTCGTGGTATGGCATTGGTCCAGTAGTTGCAAATTTGAAGTTGTTTTGGATCGTTTCCCGAAGTATCTTCTTTTCCAGGGCCTTCTTCAACTTTTGAATTTTAGCCCTTTTCCCGAGAATGAGGACCAATCATAGGCTTTGATGATTTGAAGCTTATGGTAGCGATATTTAAAGGTTAGTGCCGGTTCATTATATCGACTGATATACTGTGATTCCAATATACAGATTTGAAGGCGGTAGACCTTGATTATTTTCCGTTATCCCTGATTTTCTCAACGGGTTTGTGGATTTTTCTTAGAAATTTTTTTTTATAGAATTAAAAATCAACATTTTCAAATCGTTTAAATAATACACGGGAAATAATAATATTTTCATTCCGAATTGTTAATTTTATGCATATAAATGTACACGTTAATGAACTTGTTTAAATTAGAAATTGTGGGCTTTCAACTTTGTTTTCAGGCCTAGATCTACTCCCGGGGACCTAGGCTACTGTAGGTCTCAGGGTCTTTCAAACTGGCGAGGGAATAGGGTATCTTTCACAACTACAGTATGGCATTTGTCCTTGATTTGAGGTATGGCGATTGGTCCTGTATTTGCACATTTGTATGACATTGATCCTATATTTCATTTACTTTGAATTAAGGTATGGCATTGGTCCCATATTTGGACATTTGGTATGGCATTGGTCCTACATTTTGACATTTGGTATGGCATTGGCCCCATAATTGGACATTTGGTATGGCACTGGTCCTATATTTGGACATTTGGTATGGCATTGGTACTATATTTGGACATTTGGTATGGCCTTTGGGCGCTATTTTGGTTGTTATGGGAACATATTGAAATTTGACAGATTGGTATGGGAACATATTGATATTTGAGGCTTCAGCCTAGGACCCCCATCGAGTTTTATATACAGTGAACCCCCCGGGACTTTAGTCGCGATTGTAATTTACTGAACGGCAAGAGTAGAAAAAATCCGAACATTTTGAACTGATTAAAATCTTTAAAGATCTAATAGCAAAGGTTTTGCAAAAATAAATCAATGCAGTGTAAAACAAATGTATGTATAATGAAGAAATAAATATTTAATGAAAAAATAGATATGTGTTTGTAATATTGGTATTAACTTAAGATTAAAAAGTGTCACTATCTCTTTCATTTTTCAACAAATATAGGCTCACGTGACATATGACGCGGGGCAGGCAATTTTGATCTATCATAGACCATATCAGTATCAAACTGTCTT